ACTGTCGGCGCATTGACTGCTGACAGGAACACACCAAATCGTCTGCAGCTCCCATGTGCTAAGGGCTGAGGCAGATAGCAGCTGCCGGGAGGAAGTTGGGAGTCCCCTGCCCTTGCATCCCCGACTTGCCACCCTCACAGTTGCACGGTCCAAGCGATGCACCCGAAGCCACCGGAGTGACATGGGATCGCTGGCCCCGGCTAATGCTTCTTGAAGCGTTTTGGCTCGTGCTGGGTGAACCGGGAATGTCCTGTCACGAAGTTCGAATTATTGCTTATGTTCCAGCCGTCCAGGGATGCCTCTCCGTCACCCGCCTCTTCCATAGCTGCATCTCGAGCTGAGTTACTCTAAAGCCGTCCTGCCGGCCTCATTGCGGGCCGACTGGGATCCTGGATTCGCGAGGCGGGACTAGCAGCCTGCACCAACAATCTGCTACTTCTCTAGCGAATCTCTCAAGCCCCAACCTGAAAACCAAGAATCAACTCAACCCCTGCAAAACCCCAAACCCCAAAATTTCAGACAGCCGGACATCAAATCGTAATTAGAGTTTTTAATAGAAAAGCCACGACAGAGAGTGCAGAGGCTGCAAAAGATGCGGCCTTCAACGAGCCATCAGGCGCGGCTAAGGGCCAGGCCGCAAAATGCTCTCTACAAATAGAGGTAGGCTTTTACCACGATTTGTTCAGGCTTTTGCTGGGGTTTTAAGAACTCGTAAGGGTAACCCTCAAACCCAGCCCTAGAGCCCTGAACTGAATCTTGATTCTGTGGGCATCACTTTGTTTTCGGAACTGCGCAAAGGCAATTGCGAGGGCCTATCAGCGCTCCCAATTAGCACCCCGATACTGCTGCATTCGACAGCCTCAGTGGGTGGTCTAGGTTGAGGTGTGGGGTTGTGCAAGAGCCTTGGCAGTTCAGTGTTGTCTGTGTGAGTGCATTAAGACTACTCCGTGCTCGAATGTCAGAGGGAGGAAGGAGACAGGGTTTCAGTATGTGGTTGTCGGATGATGTGGCTGATTGGAGTTCTGTGGTGTAAGCTTCCTCCCCGAACAATCCACCAGGCAAACAGCAGTTGGGCGAAGCTTCCAGAACATGGTTTCGCAAAAATGGTTTAACCCATCTAACATGCTGTTAAACAGTCTTAACGCCCAAGCAATGAACCCCTTTCGAAAACCTTCATGACAGCCTCCATCGCGCCCTCAGGGAACCGCCCTAGACAGACCATTAGCACAGGCATCAAGCCTTTCTAAATCCGTCCAGCAAGCTCTTGTACTGCCGTCACATCCTTGCAACACCCTTTCGACAGGAATCTATAAACACCTTTATGGAACCCTTGAAGAAGTCTTGCAAATTTTAAATAACCATAAAGACAAAGCCAATCTTTAACCTGAAGCGGGCGAGTGCAGGTGCTCAAGCAAGGGCTGTGTTTAGAGTCTTAGATTGGGGCTTGGGGTGTCGCTGGGACAGAGGTGTTTCAAGTTTCTGTAAAAGGGAGTGCTTCAGTAACGATCCGGGCTTACGGAGATTACGAGACATGTCCCGACCTCATGGGTTGTCCTGGGTGCTGGGTCCCTTAAGGCATGTTCATACGCTTGTGCTCCGGCATCGGATCCCACAGTTGGAGCCCCGAACCCTCTACCCTAAGCCCCACAACCATGAACCTAAACGGTTTAGGTATCAGAGTTTAGACAGCTGTAGCTGTCAATAGCTCAAATAGATCCGAAGACACTACGATGTGAGGTGAACAGCAGCTCCCTGACGATGGGGAGCGGTGGAGCAGGGCCTCTTCTAGGCACGGGACTGCGGGGGACTCAGCGCGCCTTAGCCGTGCGCTTTGCGCTGGCGGGCTGCTGCTCGGGGACTATTGGGGCGATACCGCTGATGTGTAGCAGTGTCGGGATGCAACAACACAAAGGTTGGATGTGGGTTGGGTGATCTTCCAGCAAGGTTAGCACAGCCATTCCTTCGGAAGTGCCTCGTTTCTTCCATCAAGTCTTCACATGACTGCTTGTCCTTCTGAAATCTCGCTCTGACCCTTTTGCCTGGAACATGGGAATATCTCACGAATCTATTTTTTTGTATGTCCATGAATGTACTTTTGTGATGTTTGTCTATAAGCCAGGTGTTGAATTAAGGGTAGGTGTATATTTTTGTAACTGTGTGTACCTGTGTGTATGTAACTGTGTATTCACTGTGTGTATGTATGTATGTAACTGGATGTAACTGTATGTAAGCATGCATGCATACATGGATGGATGTATGGATGTATGGATGTATGGATGTATGGATGCATGTATGTATGTACGTATGTTTGTATGTGTGTATGTGTGTGTATGTGAGTATGTGTTCATGTGTGTACGTGTGTATGTGAGTCTGTGCGCACGTGTGTACGTGCATGTGTGTATGTGCGTACGTTCATGCATGCATGCATGCATCGATGGATGGATGGACGGATGGATGGATCGATGGATGTTCTACGTAGCAATGTACATACATAAATCGACCTGAATCGACCTATCACACTTATATACACTTATCGACCTATCTGTCTGTCTATCTGTGTATCCTTCCATCCATCTAGGCTTGTTTCTATCAATCTTTCTGTCCCTGTCCATCAATCTGACGATCTGTCGGTCTATCGACCTCTCGACTTATCGACCTATCGATCGTTCTGTCTATCTACCGAATATCTACCTATCTAGCTATCGTTCCATCCATGCATCTGTCTGTCTGGCTATCTGTCTATGTACGTACGGTATGTGCTCATGTCACGAAAGGCGTCGGCGGCACGCTTTTTGGGGTCTGAAAAGGATGCTCCTGATGCTCGCCTACCGGCTCCGCTTGGGGCCTGCTGATGCTCATGCTGCTCGCTGATAGGTGCCGATTGGGCTCCCAATCATGCTCACCATGCTCGTTTACCGGCTCTGATTGGAACCCAGGAGAGCTGTCAGAGGCTTCACGTGCATTGCTTTGTTGCCAGCATGGGTGTGTATGTGTGTGTGTGAGTATGTGTATGCGTGTGTCTCTTTGTGCCCTCTGTGTGTGTGTGTGTGTGTCTGTCTGTCTGTCTGTCTGTCTGTCTGTCTGTCTGACTGCATGTTGTGAGATCACTCGTCACAGTGGGTTACGATGTCCAGTTGTTGCGGGCATCAGCGTATGAATGTGACCAGCTCACACATCGCAGAGAGTACGATTTGTTGCCAGCTTGGCCGTCTCTTAGTTTTTGAGATCACACATATCGGTCAGCTCACACATCACAGAGGGTACGAAGTGATGAGCTCACACATCGCAGAGGGTACGCTTTGTTCCCTATGTGGGCATCTGTATGTTTCTGAGATCACACATATCGATCAGCTCACACATCACAGAGGGTACGAAGTGATGAGCTCGCACATCGCAGAGGGTACGCTTTGTTCCCTATGTGGGCGTCTGTATGTTTCTGACATCACACATGTCGATCAGCTCACGCATCACAGAGACTATGATTTGTTGCGTGGAGCGGCCTTTTCTTGCGTGTGTTTTTGAGACCACGGTGTGCGTATGTGTCGATATCACACGTAACAGGGGCTAGGACTTGTTATGTGGAACGGCACGTGGCATTGCAAAATCTGTATGATAATCCCGCGCCTTTAGGCTTTGTGTTGGCATGTCCTTGTTGGGTTTTGCATTGTTTTCTTTGGTAAAACGGTAAGAAGAAAACAGAACTATAACAAACCGATAACGTTAGTTTCATGGAAGAACGATAAGAAGAAAGAATAACAATAGCGACATTCAGCGACAAGGATGTTTGTACGGTGTTGTGGAACGGCCTGTGATATTATGCAATGACACATGACAGGCGGCATGACTTGCTGCTTGCATTAGTTTGTGACGCACCTACCGTGGGTGCCTTTTCCGATGTATCGGCGTGTGTATGTTGTGTCCTCACACGTCACAGGCAGCACTATGTCACTGTTTGTTACGGGCGTCGGCGTGCGGACGTTGCCAGATCACATATCACATTATTTGTTAAGGGTGTCGACGTATGAATGTGGTCAGCCCACACACTGCAGAATGTACGTTTGGTGACGAGCACGGGCCTGTGCATGTTGCTGAGATCATACGTAATGGGGTGTGTGCTCACTTATGTGGAGTAAGTTGTCAGCTCGCACATCGCAGAGGTTGCAATTTGTTTCGAAGAGCATGGGCGCGTGTGTGTTTCTGAGATCGCACTGACTGGAACGCCGCAGTTTCGTGAAGATGACGTGGCCCTGTGCGGTTCGCTTTACTCGCTGTACAGTCGTTGAGAAGATGCGCGGTGATTGTGGGGCTGTTCGCGGGATGCAGCCGCCATCAGCTTCAGCCTTGTGGCATCAGCCCTTGGCAGTGACTTTCTTGCCATTCAGGGAGACAGTGTGCATGCAACAAATTAGGCTGCGAACACCACTGACAGCATGGAAGTACCGGTGTGTAAGTAAGTAAGTAAGTAAGTATGTATATATGTCGTGCATATGCGTATATGTGTATATGTGTATCTGATCTGTGCATCCTGTGGCATACGCGCTATGCTCGAGTGTTTCCGAAAATATTCCATTCATAGGTGTTGCTTTGTCATGTGCAAGCTCAAAGGCAGCATGGCTTCCTTCATGTGGGCAGCAGGTTTAGGGTTTTTGGGTTGTGGAGTTGAGGATTGAGGGTTTTGGGTTTAAAGGTTTTGTAACGCTTAGGTTTTTTGGGCAGCAAACATCGAACCCTGTAGAACCCGGCGGCTTCCGTGATGTGGGCCCTGGGCAGTCGGCTCTTTGCTATCAGTAAGACAGCCTTCAAAGGACCAAGCTTTTCTTATAGCTTATTTTCCATTTTTGTAAACTTCATACCTTAGTTTGCTGAGTCCCAACAGGCTTGCCTGGATTTTTGCAGAATATATACTCGCGAGGCATCGTGTAAAGTTGAGCTGTAGCTCGGGTCGTTCGCGTTTTCTCAGACAAAGTTGACGGCATCTGTGAGGCGTAGCCTTGACCCTCATGCAGAAGTTCAAGCAGGTCGCAATGCAGGTGTTCTGAAAGGGGCAGCACTGGGGTCGGCCAGAAGAATATCAGCTCATGTAGACGATGGCGGTGGGAAGTGTCCTGGCATATAGGGTCGTGTGCACAGAAAGCCTCCCCTGAGCACGTGTCCCTCACACCCTTCAAAGGCCGTCACCTTTCACCTTTAGGGTTTAGGGTGCCCGTCTGCCCTGGTTTACAATGAAAAGTTGTGTGTTGTGTTTTTGGGCGGGTTCTGAAATCTAAATCCATTGGCATGCCAAGCCCCATTGCAAAAGCTTAAAGCCGTTTGCGTAACGACACCCGTACCGAAGCCGAACCAAGGAAATTTCAGGTTCAAGGGTTTCTGAGCTGGCTCGAACCGACACCATCAACCCGACGCCCCCGAAACTGCTATATCGCTATTGGGATCCAAGCCGCAAAAGCCACGACTCGGATGAATGTCCTCAAACCTGTAAGCCCAAAAAACACCACGCACTAGGCCAGTGTTAGGGTTGTTAGGGTTGCACAAACCCCCAACAGATTTACCACGGCCAGAGACCCTCCAACACGCCGTGGAAGGCCTCCTGAACCCCCCCCCCCCCAATGGTTGCACACAAATCATTTAGAGAATCGATCTCTGAGAGAAGTAGCTGTCCGTACAGTGTTCTTGTTATCCCCTGGTACAGGCCATGCAGAGACACGGTGCCGGCGGCCTCGGGAGTGGAACCCAGTCTCCAAGTATTCGGGACAGGTCTTGGCAGAAGGCTTCTGAGGTTGCTGGATGACCAAACGCCATCACTCAGGCCGTGCCAGAACAGCTTCCCAAACCTTGCAGAGTGGAACATTGCCGACTTTCAATGGAAGGCCCGGAGCTTTGAGTTGCAGGGACCAGTGAATGAAAAGGGGGCCTCCTGCTGTTTTTGGGATCCAAAATTCTGCTGCAAAGGCCAGGGCTCGGATCTTCGCAAATGCGGTGAATCAAGACGCTAGCGCGCTCAGTCATGCACTTACGCTCCGACGCCTGCGGCTTTTTTTCTCGAATGCCGTCGGCTTCATTTCTGAGAATCCGTTGTGTGGCTCAGGCCCGTCCCCTGTGCAGTCTGGTGTGATCACACCGCGCAAGGTCTGCTCTGCTCACTGCCTCAGCTGCCTCGCTGCTGCGTTTCGTGCATTCTGCGACTCCGAAGGAGGGTGCCCCCGCCGGGCCTTTGACAACGGCTACGCGTGGAAAGTCGGGAGCCCAGAAGCAGAGGAGTGTGGCGGCGCTTCGAGCATGACTATCAGATAGTCGGTGCCAGGCACTTTCAAGCCGCCGGGCTTGAAGTGTTCCCGACCTTGCTGCGGGTGTCCTCCTTGGCCAGACGAAGTCCGCAGGACAATAGGACAGGACGTAGCAGATTTAGGAGCATCTGCCGACCCAGGCTGGAAAGTCGCTGCCCAACAAACAGGGCGTGAACCAGGTGGCCCATTATTGGATAGGGTGTCTTGTGAGATCGCTTGCATCGCAGCATCAGGCCCATGTGGAGACTTGTGCAAGCGCTTAAATCGTCAGATGTATAGCTCCAGATCGCTCAGTCGTTCTTAGTTCGACTTTATCATCCGCCTCCGTGTTTCTGAAGGGCTCGATTCTCGGTGCTGTGGCTGGCGCACATATTCTCTGTGCTGTGGCGCCCGCATATGGCCGCTGGGCCGGAGCTGGACGAATTTCCTGGACTTCTGGGCTGAACGATAAATGAACATGCCACGGAGTTGTGCGTGTGTGTGTGTGTGCGTGTGTCAGCCGTCCTGCTTTGGGGAGTGACTTGTATTTCGCATAGTCGTGACGTTCAGTCATGAGACGGATGTGTAGGGGTGCGCAGGCTTGGACGTGTAGGGTGCCTTGTTGGGACAGCTGACGCATGTCGGTGCAGCGAACGGCCACTTTGCAAGGTATTCCTGCGCTGATACACACTGGATACTGCGGAAAGCAGCTGTGTCTCGGATAAGTTTTGGGGGTCGACAGCTCGCAAAGCCTCAGGATGGCCTGAGGCCTTAAAGCTTGCAGGAGCCGTTTTTGCCTTGTAGCCTGCAATGAGCTGCTTACTTCATGCCAAGTTACAGAATCTGGTAGGCAGAAGCACCATAGCACCACGCCCACCATCGCCCATGTTCGCACAACGAATGCTGTGGAACCATGACAATGTAATGCACTCACACACGACAACCTGCGCAGCACGTGCACATGCACCACTGAAACAGCCAGCGCAGTTCGAATCGTTTGAGTTCGGTCACGGCCCACGAATCGGCAAGGCAGTATGGAGAGACACTTTTTTCCGTGTGCCTTTCAACTTCTAGAGTTCCAGAGGCGATGCATCAGCATCCCTGCGACTGTTTGGCATGCTTACTCGTGTGAGTCTGTCAGTATAGCAATTTCGCACAGCTTGATGTTCGATATTCCTGCAATCGGGAAAATGACATGATATGGCAGCCAATCGGGAAAATCGCATGCTCGGTAGTAGGAATCCGCCATTGAACCCACCGGTATCACTCGTTCTGCCGGATCTTTGACCATAACCGGCAGCGAGGACTGCCAGCGTGGGGTCGTTTTGCTGTTGAGGCGCTTTGTGGAGCGATTGCGCGGGATGTCGGAGAGCTCTGTGCAGCTCTTCAAGTCTCCCTACTTCTGGGCAGTCATGGAGCGGGAGGTGTTCCCAGCCTTGATCAGGGGTGGCTTCGTCGCTAGTGGCCACAAGAGCCCACAGTACATGGCCCAAGCCGTGGAGAAGTTCCACGTGGACGTCCTCATGATCCCACCTTCCCTTTTGGACTCGCTCCTGGACGTTGCGCAGGTCGGTACTCGGATGTGGTTCGATGTGCGTGAAGTTTAACCTGAGAGGTGCGAGTTTCTTCCGTTCTCTCACGCAGCCGCTCTGTGCAGGGGTTCTTGAGGGGCCGCCGTGTCATCACGACCGTGGGTGAGCCTTTGACGTTGCAGCTGGCGAACTGTGTCGCAGGCAGCTTGCCGGGCCGGTTCAGGTGATTTTCCGGGAGGTTTTGCCCTCTATGCTGCCCTTTTTGCCGAGGCCATTGTGGGCTGTCGGTGGCCCTGCGGAACTTCTACGGCGCATCCGCAAGCTCATGCATCATGGCCCCGGATAACTTGCTCTTGCTGCCAGTTGCAGGTTGCATTCACTTTAAGTTGCATTCCTGTAGAAGTAGCTGTTCATGCAAGCAGATGCGGCAGCGGCTATTCCAGTGCCTGCTCAAGCCATGTCGGGGCATGGGAGCAACTTGAACAACTCCCACGTCGCAGGCACCGTAAACATGATACCCGAGCACGGCGTCGACACGGATCTGTACCCGCGGTACGTTCCAGCCGGCACTCCGCAGCCTCACGTCAGAGTGCTCCTTTGCTTCAGAGAACACCGCCACAGCGACCTGTTTTTGATCTTTGGGCCCTGAGGCAAGTAGTTTTCTGTCGCAGGTTTTGGCGAATGTGTGGTGTGAGTCTCTCTCTCTCTCTCTCTCTCTCTCTCTCTCTCGCTCTCTCGCTCTCTCTCTTTCTCTCTGTGTCTGTGTCTCTGTACGTGTCTCTCGCTCGCTCGCTTGTTTCTTGTCTCCAAAGCAGCTAGAGCTCAGGTTGATCATGGCCGAGGGCAGCTTCGAGATGATGTCTCCTGGGGAAGCTGGCGAGATCTGCTTCGGAGGCGTGCTGGCTGCACGCGACTGCCTTCGGCCGGAACTCACGGCCGCGAAGTTCGCACCCACGGACAGAGTTCACGCAGAGCGCACTGTGCCGAGAGTTTGATGCTTGTTCATGGTGTGCTCATGTCACATGTGATAGGAGAACTTCGGGCGAATTTACCGCACCGGCGATTTGGGCCGCTTCAGGGAGGGAGCTTTGGAGGTGGTCGGGCGCTGAGAGAGTTCCACGTGGGCGTGCTCATGATCACACCTTCCATTTTGAACTTGCTCCTGGATGTTGCACAGGCCAGTACTCAGGTTCAGTTTGATGTACTTTGCATGTGAACGTGTATAGTCGGCGAGGTGCAAATTTCTTCTTCCGTTCTCTCACGCAGCCGCTCTGTGCAGGGCTCCTTGAGGGGCCGCCGTGTCATCACGACCGTGGGCGAGCCTTTGACGTTGCAGCTGGCCAACCCTGTAGCAGGCAACTTGCTGGGCGGGTTCGGGTTGTTTTCTGTGAGCTTTTGCGAGGCAGTCCCGGCGCTGCTGCTCTCTGTGCTGCCCTTTTTGCCCAGGCCACCGTGGATTGTCGGTGACCCTGCGGAACTTCTACGGTGCATCTGAGAGCTCATGCAGCTTGGCCGCGGAGAGCTCTCTTTTGCTGGTTGTATTCGATTTGACATTCGATGAGTCAAGTTACATTCGCAGAATTAGCTTGCATGTGCAAGCAGCCGCTGCAGTGCCTGCTCACGACACGTCTTGAGCGGACATTTGGAGTGAGTAGGTTGAGTAGCTTGAATCACTCCCACTTTGCAGGCACCGTCTACACGGTGCCCGAGCACGGTGTGGGCACGTCTCTGCGCCCGCGGTACGTTCCGGCCGGCCCTCCGCAGCCTCACGTCAGCGTGCTCCTTTGTTTTGACAGAGAAGACAGCCGCAGCGACCTTTTTTTGATCTTTAGGCCCTTGAGGTGTTTTCTTTTGCGGGTTCTGTCAAAAAATGTGGTCTGAATCTCTGAATCTCTTTCTCTCTCTCTCTCTCTCTCTCTCGCTCTCTTTTTTTTCTGTCTCTCTCTCTCTCTCTCTCTCTCTGGCTCTGTCACTCTGTCTGTCTCTCTCTCTCTCTCGCTCGCTCGCCTGTGCTCGCTCGTTTCTTGACTCCTGATTCTCCCTTTCATCCTGCAAGGAGCGAGAGCTAAGGTTCATCATGGCCTTGGGCAGCTTCGAGCTGATGCCTCCCGGGAAAGCTGGCGAGATCTGCTTCGGGGAAGTGCCTGTTGTGCGCTACTGAGCCCACTGTGCCACAGCTTCACGCTTCTTCATGTCGCATGTCCTCTTGCGATTTGGTCGAAGCAGTGCCAGGAGAACCTCGGCCAAATCTACCGCACCGGTGATTTGGGCCGCTTTAGAGAGGGAGCCTTGGAGGTGGTCGGGCGCCTGGGCCGGCAGCCGAAGGTCAACGACGTGCGTGTGGAGCCCGGCGAGATCGAGATCGAGGCCAGGTGGGGCCCCCCCTCACGCAACGACGTGCGTGTGTCGAAACGAGAAGAGTCAAGCAGAATTTAGAGTGCAGGTTTCCATGGAAGCAGCTGGTGAGGCTATGGTGCCCGTCGAGGCAGCGACAGCCAGCGCGGAAAAGCATTCTGGGCAAGAGCCCATCCATGCCCATGCCACGCCGCTACACTAAGGTGGCCGAGGCAGGTGAGATTGGGCCGGATCTGCCAACAGCGGTCAGGATCCAAGGTTTATTTGCTCACGTCGTGGGATAACAGTACCTAGGAAGGAAGTGCAGCTCTCGATCGATATCGGTTCTGGCGCCAGCTGCAGGTCTCCATCGAATCAATGCAACAACGTCAGGTGGCCACTTCATCACGCCTGTTCACTGTTCTCATGGCACTTCAATGCAGAAACTGCAGCTGCGAGGCAGAGCTGGAGCTCCAGCTCTTGGAAGAGAGGCAGAAGGCAGCGACCTTGGCACCCTGCACGATTGGATCTGCCGGAGTTTGCTGACGTCTGGGGTTCAGGGGTCCGCGGTGCTCCCTCGTTAGGCCAAAGAGTGGGAGGACAAATACACCGCACTCCTCGATACTTACGAGGCTCGGCTCCGTGCGACCTGCAACAGCTTTAGGGTGCCAGGGTTGAGCAAGTTCTGCTTTCATGGCAGGCGGCCATCAGAGTTTTCGCCGAGACGGTCCTATGATGCCGACTTAGAAATAGGATGGCCATAGAGACTGGTGTGCTGGAAAATTTCAGTTGCACCGAATTGAGATTGGAAGCTGCTGATGCCACTAGTTTGGTGACGCGTCACGCACATCGTCCAAGACAGTCCAGTGAAACTGATCGTGGCTGTCCGGTTTCACAAGTGAATGATCCGGAACGTGATTGACAGATTGCCCGGCACAATGTTGGGTGCGTGGTGTTCTTATCGAGTTGGCAAGCTTGGCTGTACCATGTTGCTCGTCAATGATGTGATGCCCGGCGGACTAGTAAATCATGCTTGTTGCCCGGTGTGAGCGATACACCCGAAGCCGCCGGGGTGACATGGGATCCTGAAGCCTCTTGGCTCCGTATCACACCGAACCGCCTGGGTGAACCGGGCATCTCATGTCACGAAGTTCGCATCATTGCTTATGTTTCAGCCGTCCAGGTACGCCTCTGCCTCACACGTCTCTTCCACAGCTTTAGGGCCTGCATCCCAAGCTGAGCTATTTTAACGCTCGTTGGCACCCTGCCCTAGCGGCCTCATTGCCAGCCGACCTCGTTTCTGGATCCGCCAGGCGGAACCAGCATTCTGCACCAGCACTCTTGCTACTTCTCTAGATCGAGCCTAAACCCTGAGAACCCTGCGAAGTCAACGAAATGATAAACGCGGAGCCCTGCAAAAGACCCCCTGCAAGGACCCCAAACGGGAAAAGCCACCTCGAAGAGCGCAGAGGCTGCAGGAGATGCAGCCCATCCCGGGACATTCGACGAGCTACCAGGCGCGGCTAAGGGCCAGGAGCAAAAGGGCCCCACTACAAGCAGGGGTTGAGAGGGTCTTGCTAGGCTTTTACCCGGATTTGGCAGCCTTTTGCTCCTCTGTTGTTGGGGTTTCGACTACATGCTGCTTTCATGTTTTGCATTGCTATGGGGCTTTGTTAAGCTGGGGGGCCGTTATACAAGGAGGTAGCCTGTTCGGGGTTTGTAGCTGTCCCGATGTTTCGCAACGCTAGCGCCATTCCTGATGAGAAGCTGTTAAGAACCCTAAGCCCTAAGCGCATCCTTGAAACCCTTAAATCCACAACAGCTGTTTGATCTAAGAAGGGTGAAGCTCCTGTGAAACCTCTTCCAAAGACCCTTATGAACACTTCCATAGGACCCTTACGGAGCTCCTGTATAGCCCCTATCTAGACCGTGGGAGAACTCGCATAAATTCGGTTTTAGTCCATCTAACCTGCAATTGAACTGTCCAAAAATCCAGAAGCCTAGTAGAACCCTGATTGAAACCAGTCATGGAGTGCCCTTATATGAAGCTTCCTCAAGCGGCCCTGCGCAGGCCCTCAAGCAAGGGCAGGGTTTTGACCTGGTGCATGCCTCAGTGTGGTCAGGTGCAAGAAGTGCCGAAGCGGCTTAGGGTCTTAGGTTTAATGGTTTTAGGGCTTGGAGTTGCCGAACGACAGTGGTGAGTCAAGCATTTTATTGAGTTTCTGAGAATAGTGAATGCTTTATTTAAGGGTCCTTACATCAAGGATCCTGGCTTACGCAAAAAGGGATTATGAGACGTGTCTCGACCTGATGGGTTTTCCTTATGTGTTTTTCGGGTTCCCTTCAAACATGTTTGCATCCTGGTGTTCGGGCATCGGAGCCCTCAGGTGGAGCCCGAAGACCTTAACCCTGAGCCCCACGACCCCAAGGCTGAACGGTTTAGGGCTTAGGGTTCGGTAGGTAGAGTGTGGGGTTTAGTAAGAGGCCCCGATGTGAGGTCAAGAAAGGCGCCAAGATTATCGTCAGTGCGCGTGTGTCTCACGGCAGCTGCTCAAGTGTCGCTTCTGCCATCATCTGCCTTCGCAGCTCTTCTGCCTGGGTCATTCCCTGGGCTCCATGTTAAGGAAGTTAAGTTAAGTTAAGTTTTATGCCACAGTAGGTATACCTTATGAGGCAGTTAGCTCCTTTTCTAGTTTTCTTCGTAAGACTTTCTTGCCTTTCTTGTCATTTTACAGATACTCCTCTTCTTTCCCTGAATGCAATTTCCATGACCTCTGTAAAAAGTGTTCTGATGGCAGCTTGTGCAAAGCTCCTTCAGAAGAGGCCCATTCTCTGGTCCATGACTTCCACCCCAAGCTGTGAGGCAAGGAATGCTCCAACAGACGGGAAAGACATGCTGGAGCACCGAGATGGCGGGCCAAGGATCCATGTAGTACAGAATTTTCCGTGTTGAGGGTTTGGGTTTGAGAGTGTGCTTATACTTACACTATTACTAGCCTGTATTGAATCATGGAGGAGCGGTTTAGTTGTCGAGTCGAAACTCACTGAGCATTCGGTAGTACTGCTTCTAGTCTTTATGTCTAAGATGTGTAAGGACGCCACCTGACATGAGCAGCGAAGAGGCTGGTGCCCGAGTGACGTTAAGTGCGGGTCATGTCGTGCCAAGTCCACCAATGTTTGACACTACTGCAAGACCCTTGCCAGTGTCCGACAGGCCATCAAATCCATATGTGCTGCAGCAGTTTGTAAATCTCCGTTACGGATTGGGGACGGGAAGGGCATTTTTCTCAGGAGCTGGAAGACATTGGCGAATTGGAGGCCGCGCCCGAGTAGCCGGAAACGTTTGGATCACAAAGTGTTTGGGTTATTAGTCGCCAGGAGCGATATCCGCATGATGTCTACCTCTATATGTATGACATCACAGACGGCCTGGCTTGCCGGTATTCGCCACTTCTGTTTGGGCAACGCCTTCGGGCCAGCTGCTCAGTTCCGATCAGCCGAGCGTCACCAGCCCTTCCAATGCCCAGGCCCTTTATGATACTGGGGTTGTGGTGCGATGGCTCGATGGCGATCTGGAGTCTTGGTTCGGTGGTCGTATCCAAACAAAGTCAGCGGGGCCGGGGACCTCTGTCTTCTTGGACTTGGTTGCCACAATGTTCACTTTGATGTTCGAGGCACACACCTTATGGTGAGCCGCTGGAGAGAAGGCAGGCGTAGAGGGACATGCACGGCATTTCAGGGTTGCATGAGTTCACTGCCAGGTTCATGGGCACGACTTTCAGGACACGAGAAGAGATTGGAGCCTTCCTGGAGCCCCCAGCCTGCACACAGCACGCCGTTGCAACTTACATGAAGTTTCTTCTTGGCGTCGTCGCGTTTGCTTGCCATTCGCAGCTCTTCGCCAGAGCCTCTCAATGCTTCATGTTGGACATTCCTTAAACTGGTTTCTTTGTGAGCTTTTCCGCGCTAATTGCTGCTTTCGATTGGGTGAGCATCGTGTGTGCGACTGGAGGTTTTCGTCCTCCACCTTTGTCCCGAACTCCTATGACATTGCCTTCCACAACTGCAATTCCTTCTCTGCGGCGATGTTGGAGTTTCTTTGCGAAATGCAACTTGCTGGATTTCAACGTAGGTTTGAGGCGCCGGGCATTGGTTGCTCACCAATACACACTAGGACGCAGCACAGTTTTTGAGATTCTCTGAGCCATTTCTGGAGCTGCAAATGGGAGGCATTTAGGCCAAGCGCACCAGATTGACTGCGCAAACAAATGAAATTGGTTTCTGTTGACGGTATCTCGGTGCCATCTCTGATGAAACGTGCCACAACAAGGCCTGCCAGGAACGAAAACGGCAGAAGAACCCCTCATGCTAGGCTCGCAGCTCAGGCAACTTCCGCCGGATGTGCTGGAACAGGCTGGCTTGGCTTGGGCCTTGGTTTATGCGTTGATTTTCCCAGTTTTCATGTACGGCTTCAAGGGTTTTTCTTTGCCTTGTTCAAGAAAGTTGCTCAAACAAATGAACCCGAATGAGCCAAGTCGGGCTGCAGTTCTTTAAGTTATGTGTACCGGGCACCCTCCTCGTCACCTGGCCTGGCACTTAGCTCTTGCAAGGCTGCAGCCAGATTCACATCCCAATGGGAAGCTTGTGAGCCAAACAGACAGGGCGGGCAGCGGCAGAGTGATCTTCAGCTTCTGAGAGCAAAGCGCCTTGATAGAGTCGAAGTCTGCCTGTTGCGACCGGGGCCAACACTGCGGGGTCTGCAGAACGGCAGCTAGATGTTCTGAGATTCTGCCCTGTCAATTAAGAGAATTTGAATCTCACGAGCGGGGTGTAAGTTGCAGGGCGGCATCTTTTCGCAGACTCCTGGGAGCATCTGCAAGAGGATGCTTTTTCTGCACTTTGCCCAGCAGCAATCGGAATTGTCCTCTTAGTGCCAGCTACCAGCTTGGGGACTCCAGCTTTCACGCAAGGTCCCGTCCGAGGCCTGGCTTCCCCTTAGAAAGCTTTGCTGACGTGATGAGGTCCTGAATACCGACACGGGCTACCTGGGCTACCAGGTTTGGAAGTCCGGGCCCTTCCATTCACAGGCGTCCGCTTTCCAGAAATGGTTGAGCTGCAGGACGCTTAACAGATGGGACGCAGCCAGACCGCGGCTGCCTGGCGCTTAGTGCCGCCCCAGCTCGCACGACTGCTTGTGCCGCGATTGTCTAAACCCAGACCAGCTAAACGGCTCAGGTAAAATCCTGTATGTGGACGGGCAGCGAAGCATTTGAGGTCAGATTTCAGTTCTTTGTCAGATCATCTTGTTATCAGGAACAGATCACAGCGTCATTCTCGAGCACATGCACGGAAGCTTTGCAAGCCTGTACAAGCCTCTATGCGTGTCCGCGCAAAAGCGCCAAAGTCTTAGCTCGTGCAGGAACAAATATCGGGTGAAACGCAAAGAATCCTCAGAAGGTTTGGCGGGAGGATAGCATTTATCGCTGAAGAAGGAGCTGTGTCGGGCTCCGTAAATGTGAGGGCTCTGACCAGGATACGGTCCTGCCCAGCGAAAGTCAACAAGCCTTGATCTAGTGTGGTCGATCTTCACCAGATGTGCTTTCTGCACATCCAGCAAAACAGCGACCCAGTTTCGGAGCCCAAGACGCCAGGTTCATGTAACATGAGATACTCAACATGGACCTTATAGTCATCGGATTCGCGAGTTCACAGACACCCCAAAATCTCGCATGCGGTCGGATATGACTGTCAACACTCGATGCAGCAGAGCTGGCATGAAGAAGAAGAAGAAGCAATGCTGTTTGCGCATATTATACGAATGGCCAGTGGTCATGACATGTAGAAAGGAGCGGCGGGCACCCGTTCCTGCAGTAAGCATAGACGGACGAAGCAGTACTGGAGAGAGAGGGAACTTTTCGACTGCTCGGGACACCGTGAACGCACATTGTGAAAGCTGCTTCCGCAGAGTTGGCATGCCCCGCCCCATAGCACAGATGTTTTCACAAGTTGTACGCGGTCGTACTCGTAGTGCTTGCTGTCGTTGCCTCCCTCCAGCACCCTCATGCGTTATCAAGAACAGTTGCTGTTGCAGGCTGTTGCCTTCTGTGTGTTGTATGTCGTGATCCTGCAGTGCTGCGTCTACTGCTGCAATTGTGCGGTGCAGGCCCGCGTCGATTGCCTCATTCGCGGACAAGATGAAAGTGTTCTCCCAAGACTTGGATTCCTTCGCAGAAGCCTTTGGAGGCGATACCGAGCAGCAGAAGTTCTACGAGTGCCTCCTGTCTTGAGTCTTGTTGAACATGATCTGGCAACACACCCGTCGTTTTGGTAGTGCAACAGTCGCTGGTTTCGACTGTAGCCAACTCTCCTTCATTCTGAGGTCGGTTGTGGTGCCTGCACCTGGCGTCCAAGCGCAAAACTTGTTTTGCAGAAAGCCGTGTTCGTCGCATTGTTGACACGAACCTCCAAAGCTTGCTTCGGAACTGCCTGAGTGCGGATAAGTCTGCTGCTCGCGATGCCACGTACACTGTCCTGAACTATGCTGCTGAAGGGCTCTCTCTTGTGCACCAGCATATTGCAGAGGCCATGAACCCCCTGATGGAAGACTTAGTGGACTCCGACACAGTCAAGAATTTGACACGGATACAAGATTGCGTCGAGACGCTGACGATGGCAATGCGCTCGCCGAACAAGCCTCAGCGTCGGAAGTGGGTGTCCCTTCTGGTCAAACTCTTGGTGGGCGGTAGTGTTCGAACAGGCCCTGCGATCTGCCGACTGAACATGCTGTGGCTGGCTGATGACAGCCCCAAGAAAACCTATGAAGAAGCACTACACCAGCTGCGCAAGTTCGAAGCATCTGCCTCACCAGATTTGCAGGAAGATCTCCAGTATCTCATTTGCAGCGGCTGAGTGTCTGCCTCGATGAGCCAGTGCGCCAGTGCGCATCAAGGAAGACGGAGCCCGCCCGCGCAGCCTGCATCCATCAAAACGTATTCGTTGCTCCGTTGTATCACTGTTGGGGGGGTCGATTGGTCTTGGACCCTTGGATTGGTGGTTGGATTGGTCTTGGATGGGTGGTTGGATTGGTCTGGGATTTAGGGTTTAGGGTTTAGGGAGTTTAGGGTTCCACCACCACTACTACTATTGATTACTCACTTGACTCTACTCTGCTCTACAGTACACTACTACGATGAGAACGACGACTAGGAGTGGAGCTAGAATCAAGGCTGTTCGGTGTTGTTCAAGGGTTAGTGCGCCGGGGTTCTTGTGGATAATGGCAGTTTTCGCATGCGCAAATTCATGGCGGCGTGTGGGGAGACTCCACTCTTGAGCAAAACTGTGGCTCGTGCTGGAATGCTTCAGACTTTCTGCTCCAGACGGGCATTGGATTCATTGGATGTCGCAGCCATCGAACATGCAGGCTATGCAGGCTCGTGGCAAGCCGGTTTGCTTGTGGCAATTTGTGGAACCTTCCAGACGCGAGCTTGACAGGTGAGCTCGAGGAAGAGGATTGGATTTTATTTCAAGAAAGCGCAGCGAGCGCTGAAAGCAGTTTGGCCCCAAGAAGTGCCAGTATCGGCTCGAAGCCAAATTGATCATCCGGTGTTGAAAGGGTGGCGTCTTGGAAGTCTCCGGCTCCGGCGACGGAGTGAAAGTGGCAGTCGCTTAGCCGCAACGTGTCTTGACTGTCTGACGGTAGGAGCTGTTTCGTGATGGAGCATGGGAGCCCCTGTTTCTTCAGGTCAAGGTTGCAGATGCCATCGCACAGCAGGGATCGGTAGCAGCCTCAGGTGTGGCAAAGACTGTGCCAAGTCGTCAAGGACGGATGTGTAACCTCGGATGTGATGTCCATGAACTCAGGTTCGAGGGTCAGCCTACAAGGGTCAATGTATGCCTTGTGGCATTTTGTCACGAAGGCCAACATCGAGAGCATTTGCACCTCATATCCGGCATGCCTCTCAGTGTGTGGGATTAGAAATGCTCTTCCACCGCACTCTGTCTTGGATTTGTTCTTTACCCCTGCTGCTTGAGGCGGCAATCACGATTACAATGCGCAAGAAGGAGCAAGGGTTGAAACTCGACTTCGATGTGCTGGATGCCCTGTGACCTCATTGGCTTCAGAGCCGCTGCTTCCGTTCCTGGGCGGTGGTCGTGTGAAAGCTGCGGTAGGGCCTATCGGAAGTGTGCGTGCCGAGGGGTGGGGGGCGTAATCTGGAAAGTCCAGCGGATTTGCATGAGGCATAGGGCGGCGAGGCGCATGGAGCTGAATTCATGCAACAACTATGTTGGGCACAACAGCATCAATACTTTCTTCAAGTTTGTGTAGGAAGCCTAGAGGGAAGTATAGCGGCTGTGGCGGCTCGCAGGCCGCGGATACTTCGGAACCGGAGCCTGTGCCGCCAGCCGAGGGTTGGAACAGTGAGCAGTGCATGTCTATTAAGAATATTAAGATCATACCGCATCCGTGCGCCAGCTTTTTTCACTTGCTCCACTCGTGGCGTCTTGCTGAGGTTTGCAGCTGCCACGATCCAAGAGTGGGCGCGCGAGGCAAAGTCCGCAACAGCTTGGCTGGACAGCAGCCGCACGGTCTGTTGCAGCAGGTGATCGAGACTCTGCTCAAGCGGAGTGCCAGTTGGGACGAGGCTCGGACGAGGTGTCACTGTGCTCTTAAAATCACTCGCATTGTGGACCTCCAATTTTCGCTGCATTATGCTCGTTTCATCTCCCAAGCTCTTGAAGGGATTTGCAAGTGTCCGGCATGTCGCGAGAAGCGCGCCAAGCTGCTGAGCATGCGGCGAAGCTGACAGCGCTTCAGAGGTTGACACATTACCTACAGATGACGACCCATCAGCGGGAAGCGAAGCCGGAATTTGATGAAGAAGAACTCAAAGGGCCCAAGACGATGTGGCGGGCGTCCTATGAAGGATTCAGTTCGACAGGGGCGTCGAAGAAGGAAGCTCGTGAGGCCACTGCCGCACAGGTCATGCACCATTTGTCAGAGGTTGGAGCTGTTCATGAGAAGGAGTTTGCATCCCGCAAAGCTTTCGTGGCGAAGAAGCGTGAAGAAGCTGGCCGATGCTTGCTGTCTGGGCACTGGGACGCAAAGACCGGCTCTGAAAAGGGCAATACGCTGGATGGGCTTTGCATAGACGGGAGTTGTAAATGTTTTAGTCGCAGTCGCAGCCCGCGCCGGCGTCCGCCGTAATCTCTTTGCATGTGGAATGTTGTGGAACTGTCGACGAGGATTGGCATTGGTGCCAACTCAGGGCAAACGGGATGCTGGATGCAGCTTCCCATTTGTGAGTGTGTGATTGTAGCTGCAAGTGCGTAGTTTGGGCCGGTGTTTTGAGGGCCCTCCCAGCCAAGATGAGAGTCCAAAATTCTGTCCTGCTCCTTGTAGCCCTGCCGGCTTTGATGCACCGAAGGGTGCACGTGTGTGCCGTCATGACAAAAGGGGACGTTGTTCGGCTTCGTGTCTTAGCTGTGTAGCTTTTGCCAGAGCAACCCAAGCTCATACACAAGGCGTGAAGGAACTCGCAGGAAGGTCTGACGAACTTCGGGTTTGCCTGCGGGAAGTGACTGGTGAGTGCTCTGCGTGTGCGGCAGGTCGCCCATTTCCGCTTTCGAGGCTGTGGGCCGTACGCTTGTGCTTGCAAAGCGAGCCTTGCGTCCCGCCTACGCCGGTGTAGCATAGTGTAGCTGTCGCGCCAAGTACCTGTGCAATTGTCGGGCTGTGGTAGGCCGTCGCAGAGCTCCGCGTGCCCTTGGACGCTCAGGCAGTCTGGGATCTCTTCAAGTCAGGGTGTTAAATCCCAAAAGTCATCGAATTTCTGACGAGCGCTGCTGCGTGTTGGCAGGCGGCGGTCTTCATTGCTACCGTGCAGGTCCGAAGCTTTGGAGCGTCTGTGGCACTGTACCCGCGCTCCGGTCAGCGGCATCAAAGGCGGCGGACGAGATGATTGCTGCCACAATATCGCTGTGCTATGATTGGCTATGCTTCAAGGCCTTCGGGGGAGTGATTCGGAATTTGCTCTTAGCAAGGATGCGCCGGCGGATGCCAGTAAGATGCAGGTCTCGACAGACGATGTCGTCAAAGCGATTGAGCACTGCGCCATCCTTTTGCACCTGTCACCAAAGCTGAAGGGAGCAGGTGACCGGCTGGCAGAGGTCTGGGGCTCCGAGAAGGCGCATGCTGAGAGCATCATTCTGACTCTCACCGTACGAGCTCTTTCGTGTTTCGGTTCTTGCTAGGCCCTTCCCACGCTGCTGCGCAACTCACCGTCGGACACGAGCAAGGGCTGGGGCCGGGGACCTACTCCTGTGGATTTGCAGTGCAGAAGCCGGCAGGGCGGAAGAGTCAGACGTTCTGGCACAACCATACTGAACGGTACTAACGCTTGTTGACTTGACGTCTCGCGACAGAAGTTCAGCACTTCTGATCCGTAGCTACATCCTCTGGTGCTGATTGCATGATGCCCCTCTTCTTGCATGGGCTTTGGCCTCAGAAGCGACCCGTATGTATGCGCGTGCCTTTGTATGTCTGTTTGATCATACCGGTGCTACGAATGCATATCTATTCTATTCTATTCTATTCTATTCTCATTCATAGTGGGGATTCTGAGATCAGCGTGCCGTGGCAGAAGTTATGTGTTGCAACTGTGACTGCTGTCGCAAAAGCAGCATAGCCCCTGCAGCAGCAAACAACAACAACAGCAAGGAACAAACAAAAACAAGGACCCCGTCAACCCATATGTCTGCATTTTGCCTGTACATTAGGTAGAGACAAAAACAGGGACCCCGTCATCTTGTTTTAACCCCCCCCCAACAACAACAATACAGTGCCCATGGTGTATAGGGTTTGGATGATTTGCGGATTTGCAAGGCTTTTGTGTATTTGCATGGGTTGTATGTATTTGCAGATTTGGTGTGAACTTGCATGATCAACAGCTCAGCTTCAACATCAGGTCGGTGAGAATAACTGTTTGTGGCTTGCCACCCCTCCGATTGCCGAAACACGCTGAAGGCCCTAAGCAGCCCTAGATAGCCCTAGGAATCACTCAACATCAGTATCCCACGTATACCGCACACATGATGGTTTGCAGGCTCCTGACAATGAGGACTCCAGCAAAGACCCGCAACTTTCCAACAAAAACGGGCGATGAAGACATCTCGCTGGCGCCTGATGCCACCATCAGCATCGCTCCAGAGATTCAAAGATTACCAAGCGTGACGGCTTCTGATAAGGAAGCAGAAGAAGCACCCCACTCACCACGACAGAACAAGATGCCTGCTGTTCCAGTTCCTTCCATTGAACTGGTCTCACGTCTCGGAGTCGCTCCAGGGCCTGGGCAGTGTTTGCAACAATATACTAGCAAACAGATAAACCAAATCCTAAACCGTAAGCCTTAAAACCGTGCCAGCGTAACCCTGAAGCAGTGAAAGATATTGTGCACCAGCACCCAGAGACCTAGCAGTCCAAGGCCTCTCCATAGTCTCCATTCTAGTCCCGTCTTACCTTGCATATTGTAGGATCCTATAAGGAAGCCTGCAATCGCCTTATTGAGTTTAGGTTTTAACATCGGCATTCTCCTATTCTTGTTATGTTTGCTATTTCTTCTGGTTTTGTTGTTAGTTCAGCTGTTCATTTGTTACAGCTTGTTTTCCCGACACTTCTTGATATGTCGGGGTTTTTCTTCGTTTAAGGGTTATTCGGTTATTCACTCACCTTTGCTCTTGGGTGCACAGGTATTTGCTTGTTTCTTGCTGCTCCGTTTGATTATGAACTATTCAAGAGAACTCCATCTATGATTGTGTTCATTATCATCATCGCCATCACCATCATTATAACATCGTTACCATTTATCTCACGCACTACTCTGTTCGGGGCTGGGCACACGTAGCCGGCTTGCCCTAGGCGGCTGCCGCCGAACCTGGTGAATCTGATGCCGGCAAGATTTGAATCAAGCTGCTGAGCTTGGAGCTTGCGCTAACGCGGCGAACTTCAATTTCCGTCATCAGCAGTGTTAGCGAGATCGATCGGGCCCATGCGGGGAAGTTGCAATGTTATGCTGCACTTTCCCATGCCTGACCGTGCATACGGGTTGGGCCCTAACTGGAGCAGAATTTCCACACTTCTCAGCTCATGTGCAGATGGACCAACCACGGATTGCTTTGTACATAGTCTGTGCTCCCTGCTCTTTGAAGGGAGTAAAGGTACAACACCTGCCACTATGAATTCAACCTCATACCTGCATATACCTGCTACAAGTACTTGTCTGCCTGGAGCCAGCCCTTTCAATGCCCGGATTGATTGACTCACTGACTACGTGACTATGTCATACGGCCTCGGTCACCTTCAGCCAGCAAGCAACGAAGGGCAGGACTGGCCGGCCGGAGACATGTGGCGCTCATGCCTGTGCCGACAACAAGTGTCGGCATGCTGTTCCCCTCGCCAGTGTCCACGAGACGTGGCACCTTGTGGGACAGTGAGCCGAGGTGTTGTAGTCTTCAAGCTTAGCGGCACGGCAAGATGGATGAAAGCACAGGCCGTTTCTGAGCTTCTTCGGCTCATTGCTCTCATCGCGAGCGAGCGGACACGCGCAGTCAATCTCTCATGCCACAGCGGCTTTCTCACGTGATGCCGAACACACATCCTGTGAATGGAGCCGGGAGTCCAGCAAGTGCATCGTGCTGAGTTCAGCGGTCAGACATTCGTGAGGTCGCATAACACGTTTCAAAGAACTGACCTGGACTGCGGCTATCCAATCGTCGATGCTACGAGACGTTGCATCTGTCAGCAGTTGCAGTGCAGTCCATAGTTTCAAAACGAAAAGAGTCTCGGCTTACTGCGAACCGGTTAAGATTGCTTTCATCACATGTCCACACTGCGAAAATGCCTCGTCATGTCCCGGTTCAAGACTGTTTAATGTAGAAGCCTAGACAAGTACCAATATTATTCCGCAGAGCCGCCATCATAATTATACGAAAAAGGATTTCTAAATGCTCGAATCCCTGATTTGCCACCCTGAGAGATGCGCAGTGTGAGCGATACCACCGGAGCCGCTGGAGTGACATGGGATCCTGAAGCCTTTTGGCTCCGTATCACACCGAACCGCCTGGGTGAACCGAGCATCTCATGTCACGAAGGTCGCATCATTGCTTATGTTTCAGCCGTCCAGGTACGCCTCTGCCTCACACGTCTCTTCCGCAGCTTTAGGGCCTGCATCCCAAGCTGAGCTATTTTAACGCTCGTTGGCACCCTGCCCTAGCGGCCTCATTGCCAGCCGACCTCGTTTCTGGATCCGCCAGGCGGAACCAGCATTCTGCACCAGCACTCTTGCTACTTCTCTAGATCGAGCCTAAACCCTGAGAACCCTGCGAAGTCAACGAAATGATAAACGCAGAGCCCTGCAAAAGACCCCCTGCAAGGACCCCAAACGGGAAAAGCCACCTCGAAGAGCGCAGAGGCTGCAGGAGATGCAGCCCATCCCCGGACATTCGACGAGCTACCAGGCGCGGCTAAGGGCCAGGAGCAAAAGGGCCCCACTACAAGCAGGGGTTGAGAGGGTCTTGCTAGGCTTTCACCCGGATTTGGCAGCCTTTTGCTCCTCTGTTGATGGGGTTTCGACTACATGCTGCTTTCATGTTTTGCATTGCTATGGGGCTTTGTTAAGCTGGGGGGCCGTTATACATAAAGGTAGCCTGTTCGGGGTTTGTAGCTGTCCCGATGTTGCGAAACGCTAGCGCCATTCCTGATGAGAAGCTGTTAAGAACTCTAAGCCCTAAGCGCATCCTTGAAACCTTTAAATCCACAACAGCTGTTTGATCTAAGAAGGGTGAAGCTCCTGTGAAACCTCTTCCAAAGACCCTTATGAACACTTCCATAGGACCCTTACGGAGCTCCTGTATAGCCCCTATCTAGACCGTGGGAGAACTCGCATAAATTCGGTTTTAGTCCATCTAACCTGCAATTGAACTGTCCAAAAATCCAGAAGCCTAGTAGAACCCTGATTGAAACCAGTCATGGAGTGCCCTTATATGAAGCTTCCTCAAGCGGCCCTGCGCAGGCTCTCAAGCAAGGGCAGGGTTTTGACCTGGTGCATGCCTCAGTGTGGTCAGGTGCAAGAAGTGCCGAAGCGGCTTAGGGTCTTAGGTTTAATGGTTTTAGGGCTTGGAGTTGCCGAACGACAGTGGTGAGTCAAGCAT